CTTTAACCTTGATTCTCATTTCAATTTGAAGCTGGACGGTCACCAGGACGATAATTTTGACCCTAATTTTGACCCTGCGCCTTCTCATTTCAATTTGAAGAGGGACGGTCTCCAGGACGATAATTTTGACCCTAATTTTGATCCTGCGCCTTCTCATTTAGATTCGAATCAGGACGGTCTCCAGGACGATAATTTTGACCCTAATTTTGATCCTACGCCTTCTCATTTCAATTCGAAACGGGACGGTCTCCAGGACGATAATTTTGACCCTAATTTTGACCTTGCGCCTTCTGATTTCAATTTGAAGCGGGGCGATCTCCACGACGATAATTCTGTCTCTAATTTTGACCGAGGACGGTCTCCAGGACGATAATTTTGACCCTAATTTTGACCCTGTGCCTTCTCATTTCAATTTGAAGCAGGACGGGCTTCAGGACAATAAATTTGACCCTAATTTTGACCCTGCGCCGTCTCATTTCAATTTGAAGCGGGACGGTCTCCAGGACGATAATTTTGACCCTAATTTTGACCCTGCGCCTTCTCATTTCAATTTGAAGCGGGACGGTCTCCAGGACGATAATTTTGACCCTAATTTTGACCCTGCGCCTTCTCATTTCAATTTGAAGCGGGACGGTCTCCAGGACGATAATTTTGACCATAATTTAAACCTTGCGCCTTCTCATTGCAATTTGAAGCGGGACGGTCTCCAGGACGATAATTTTGACCCTGCGCCTTGTCATTTCAATTTGAAGCGGGACGGTCTCCAAGACGATAATTTTGACCCTGCGCCTTCTCATTTCAATTTGAAGCGGGACGGTCTCCAGGACGAGAATTTTGACCCTAATTTTGACCTTGCGCCTTCTGATTTCAATTTGAAGCGGGACGGTCTCCACGACGAGAATTTTGACCCTAATTTTGACCCTGCGCCTTCTCATTTCAATTTGAAGCGGGACGGTCACCAGGACGATCATTTTGACCCTAATTTTGACCCTGCGCCTTCTCATTTCAATTTGAAGCGGGACGGTCTCCAGGACGATAATTTTGACCCTAATTTTGACCCTGTGCCTTCTCATTTCAATTTGAAGCGGGACGGTCTCCAGGACGATCATTTTGACCCTAATTTTGACCCTGCGCCTTCTCATTTCAATTTGAAGCGGGACGGTCTCCAGGACGATAATTTTGACCCTAATTTTGACCCTGCGCCTTCTCATTGCAATTTGAAGCGGGACGGTCTCCAGGACGATAATTTTGACCGTAATTTTGAGCCTGCGCCTTCTCATTGCAATTTGAAGCGGGACGGTCTCCAGGACGATAATTTTGACCATGCGCCTTCTCATTTCAATTTGAAGCGGGACGGTCTCCACGACGATAATTTTGACCCTAATTTTGACCCTGTGCCTTCTCATTTCAATTTGAAGCGGGACGGTCTCCAGGACGATCATTTTGACCCTAATTTTGACCCTGCGCCTTCTCATTTCAATTTGAAGCGAGACGGTCTCCAGGACGATAATTTTGACCCTAATTTTGACCGTGCGCCTTCTCATTTCAATTTGAAGCGGGACGGTCTCCAGGACGAGAATTTTGACCCTAATTTTGACCCTGCGCCTTCTCATTTAGATTCGAATCAGAACGGTCTCCAGGACGATAATTTTGACCCTAATTTTGACCCTGCACCTTCTCATTTTGACCCTAATTTTGACCCTGCACCATGGACAAAGTCTCCCCAGCGCTGTTGCTTCCAAAGACCTAGACAAGCCGTGAGTGGGTAGGGGCCTGGCTGGATCACTTGCTCGCGAAGTATGATATCTACTTATTCCACATGGTAGGTGGCGCGGTAGTTGCCGGGTCTTTTGCATTCTTCGTTTCATCAAAGGCTCCAAGCTACATACTTCTCGGAACAGGTTGTTCCATGCCGCAAAGAAAGGCACGGGGCTCATCTGTGCCTTCCTTGTGTTGGACTTCCCAAAACGGGTTGTTCCCTAAGTGTCGACACACGAGTTGGAAAAAATGATGCGCCTGCTTCGGACGGGCTTCCCAGAACGGGTTGTCCCCCCACAGCGCGACGCATACGAGCAGGACAGCGCTACAAATTAGCCTGCATGCTTACGCAAGACTTCCCAGAAAGGGTCGTTCCCCCAAGCTTTAAGCTTAAAAGATTTACACTGCGCAGACAGTGTACAGAAGCTTGTCATTCGCATCGTACACTTCCCCAAGGCTCAGAGCACGAAAAAAGCGGCCCCACTTGACGGCCCTCGGCTTTTGGATCTCCATGAGCACCCCCTCGCGCTTGAGGAAAGATACGCCGTGCGCGGCGTCAAATTCAACTGCAACAGAAGCGGCGCGGGTAGCCTCAGTTCCAACGTGACAAGAAAAGGTCCGAAAAGACGGCCCCGCGAAGAAGTAGCTTGCAAAAGGGAAAGGTGAAGAAGGAGAAGGCAGTCAGTGAAGACAAAGCTGAAAGAGGCGCGGACAGTTGGTTGCGCGCAGTGCTTTGATTTCCTGCTGTCGGCGTCCTTCTGTGTGGAATGCATGTCCAGGTTGCTCATATATTCATAAATTAAATGCATTGCAGGGTGCAGCTTTTGATGCCTGCCTCTACACCTGCATGAAATAATTTCAGATCGAAACAGATATGGGGCAAAGTCAGCAAAAAGGTGAAATACGTGTCAAAGGGTATGGAGAAAGAGTCTGGGTGTTAAGGAAAAAATCAAGAGAGCTACGTTTTGCATCAGTCTTGTAGGCTATGCGGGCCCCTGGTCTATGTCACGGTCTGTCACCGTACATTGCTTACTTTCGCTTTTTCCGTTAGTAATGACTTTCACCCCGTGCGCACTGTCTAGGTTGGTTTGTGGCTCTCTACTGGCTGCTCTTACAAGGGACACAAGTAACACACGCGCCACCAACAAGGCACAGGGAATTGTCCATCCACCAAGTGTACCGGTCCAAAGCATCATCCAAACTGTCTCGGAGGCTGAAGTGGTCTCGCGCGCCTGGCTGATAAGCCCAGCTAATCTTGCCGTCTGTGTCGGCAATCGCGCGAGCCTCAGGTCCACAGCTCTAAGCTCACCGAAGCATCACTGAGCGGCATTTCTTCTTTTATTTATCTGGGTCACGTTACCCATCTTTAACCAGGCCCCCAGCAGGGACGATTGTTCCCCAAACAGCTCTCGAGCTGAATGGGGTTCTCAATTCTTGCTAGAAACGGTCTTTGTTCCATCATGATTTGCTGGTTGCTCCTGGTTCCGGCTCGGGTTCGGGTGGTTGTCTCCCTTTTTATCTCTTCTTTCTTTTTTCAGGAAACGGGGTTGTGTTCCATCATGATTTCCTGGTTCCTTCTGGTTCCGGTTCTGGCTCCGGTACTTGTCTCCCTTCTTTCTTTTGTCAGGAAGAGGGTTTTGTTCCATTTTAATTTCCTGGTTTCTCAGCGATTGTTCTGATGTGACTCAGCTATTGTGAGTATCTGACTCTTGAGCCTGACTCAGTTGCGTGACTCGGACATCTGCCAGCTGACTCCCCCAACTCTCAAGATTCGCGACCTACACTGGTTTCATCAGCATGAAATGATGCCGCGTTTTCTGCATTAGACCCATGAATCGGGCCGTCTGAGTATACGTCAAATGTTAAGTCATGAATAACCCATACAGTAAACGCATCATTTGTATTTACACACACACACTATATATATATATATATATATATATGTGAACATATATATGTGCGTGTTACTATATATAATATACAAACAGTGTTACATGTTTTACATGCGATACATTAAATTATAGAATCATATTTGTATATATATATGTATTACAGACATCCAATTACAACTTTTACAGGCTAAACTATCAAACCCCCGTGGTAAACCCAGAATAACCATTGCCCACTTCAACTGCTGTCAGTGACTGCGCGGGTTTGTCTGGAAATAACTTAATCTCATGGTTGATCCTCCATTTCCTGCTAACATCACCACAATGTGACGGTATCGTCCCCATTTTTGATCATTGTTGATGGTTGTATCCACCATATTCTGGACAACACCTCAAAATACGGTTGATTCTAGATGAAGGGATATCCACTACTGGTTGGTGGTTTCAACCCCCCTGAACAATATTAGTCAGTTGGGATGAATATTCCCAATATATGGAAAAATAAAAAAATGTTCCAAACCACCAACCAAATTATTTTATTACGTATGTACCCCCACAGTTTTAGGTTGTAACTGAAATCCCAGGTTCTGTGGGTTTAATTCCGCATGTGAGCCACGGATGTACTTAGTACATATCGAAATTGACGAGGTGTGCCTACGTCGTTCTGCAGTCTCGTAGCGTTTTTGGGGTCTGACCTCGTTATCCAACGCCGCACTTGTTTAGTAACTAAATGCTTTACATGAGATGCCTACCTTGTTCTCGGAATGTTCCTACATTGTTTTACACGCTAATCATGATGTTTTCGGCAAACCAGGGTACACCCCAATACTTCTCTCCATTTGACCAAATAAAAACCGTCGCTCATGTGTGCATTAAATGCATGTTATTTATGGATTAATACACTGCAGGGTGGTGTCCCATAGCTAGTTTGTGTGTGTGTAAAGTTTTTTTAAAACAACCACAACAACAACAACAGCAACAACAACAGCAACAGCAACAGCAACAGCAACAGCAACAGCAACAGCAACAACAGCAACAACAACAACCACAACCACAACCACAACAACCACAACCACAACCACAACCACAACCACAACCACAACCACAACAACCACGACCACGACCACGACCACGACCACGACCACGACCACGACCACGACCACAACCACAACCACAACAGCAACAACAACAACAACCACAACAACCACAACCACAACCACAACAACAACAACAAACATAACTTAGTCAACCTAAATCAGTTTTCAAAATCCACATGTTTCTTGTTAAGCCTTCATTTTCGCGCATGAAAAATCACAATTTCATCCACAGACGGGGCACCTTGCAACCCTAAGCTCAAGGCTCACGGCTCTGGCCCGGCAAGTCGTATTCCAAAGGATCACCTCAAAATGTCGATGGGACATGGCAGAATGGATCATCCGCTACCATGACCACGATATAATCTAAGGTAAGGATGTGGAGAAGCCATGGCATCCTTTTGTAGGAACAGAATCTACACATTAATTATGGGTTTTCCACAGAAATAATGTTTAATAATTCTGATAATAGGTTCAGATGTCACTATGCTACAATGGCAATCATTGATAATAATGTGTAAACATCCCATTATGATATAGTGGTTAAATTACCAAACTGGTTTAACAATCAACCATGGGGATGTTTTAGATGGTTCAACTTTTATCTATATAGACAGGGCACTAAAATCACCCATGTATGGTTAATATATGTTAATATTTAAGTGCGTGTGAAATGATAATATATGATACATGGGTGTTGGTCCAAGAAAAACACAAAATTCGGATGGATTTCAATGGGTCTACAACATTTTGAAACAAACCCATGTAAAAACACCCAGAAAGTCATCACTATATAAAGTGGCGGATTGAATATTTCAAATTTTGATACTCCTGATCAATACATTACCTTTTTGGGGACCACATATTGCATATTGTTTGTCTACTGCTTGTTGAACAGAGGCGACCCCCCTGTTCAGCCGACCAGACCAGCAACGCTGCAAATCTTCAAACGTGTGGGGATAATGAGGACTTGGGTTGGACAATGGCAAAAAACCATGAGATTCTGGGATACCACATTCTTGGACGAAACCACATATCATATATCTAGACAAATACAAAACTGTGTTTTGAAGGCAACTCTGTGTGTACACGCACAGCAGACCCAAGGCTTAGATATGGATCACAACTACCCTGGTTTCCCTGATGTTCACATGACAAACGATAAACCGAGTGAAATATCTAGTTTCTTGATGTAAATCTCATATGCAATCATATACTCATATATTGAATTATATTGACATCTGTGAAAAAAACAAAAACATGTAAACAATATATCTCAACCATTGATCTGTAAGTCCCCGAAGTTTCACCCAGATCCATATTTCCCTATAGCCCAAACAACACCCGCCTGCCGACTCACCTCCCATCTGGCTGCAGTACTGTTGGTGGCTACAGCCAGTTTGAAGTCCAACAAATAAAGGGCTCGAACGGCCTCCAGAACTCAGCCACTTGCTGGAAAACATAGTGATTTTTCATGGTGATACAACACTTAATGGGATTTATAACGATTCCGCAAAATTGGACAATGTCTGATTTATGATGGCTAGACCCCAATGGAATAGAGCTTATTGAAGGAAGTTTAGAAGTCAAACTTCCGACACTATGGACAGATGAAAAAGCAGAGGTGGGAAGAGTCAGAGAAGAGAAGAGCAGAAGAGAGAAGATCAGGGGAGAGAAAGCGTGAGAAGAAAGAAGATGCAGGTGCGCAAAAAGGTAGCAAAGTCGCGAAACACTGTGTTTTTCCATCGATTTGTGGCTCCGGAGACTCGAAAGAGCCATGTGGCCAAATGAGAGATGAACAATTGTACGCCATTGTGGCGCGAAGCACATTTTGAAGTCAAAATGTACAAAACACACCATGCTCGGACCACTTTTGGAAGTTGAGATGTCGAAAAAGTGCACGCCGTTGTGGCGCGAAGCACATTTCAAAGTCAAAATGTACAAAACACACCATGTTCGGACCACTTGTGGAAGTTGAGATGTCGAAAAAGTGCACGCCGTCGAAGCACATTTGGAAGTCAAAATGTGCAAGACACGACCAGCCTTGAAGCACTTTTGCAAGTTGAAATGTCGAAAAAGTGCACACCGTTTTGGCGTGAAGCACATTTACAAGTCAAAAGTGTTAAAAATTGAGCGTCTCGGACCACTTTTGGACGTTCAGATGTCGTTTGGTGTGGCAGGTGCAAGGGATTGTGTGCATTAGTCAAAATTGAGGGAAACAAACGGGCGGGGTTTTGTAGCATTTCCAAAATCGATGGCAGGTGTGGGACATTTGAAGAGGATCTGGAAAGATGCATTTCGCGTGGCAGGCGCAGTACAAGAGACATGCTCATCAGAAATATTCGGAAGTCTGGGCACTGATTTCCTGAGAGGGGTTGCATTTTGGAGCATCAGATCTTCAGGTTTGCTAAGATGATTTTGCGTGACAGGTGCAGCACTTCGTATGACCTGGCATCACTTTTTCATGGCAGAGGCAAAATACTTTACACAGATTAAGTGGAACAAATCGCAAAACGCATTGGTACGAGTCGTCAGCTTTGCAACTTTCCATCTTTGACGGAACTTCAAAAACTGTTTTCAAACTCTCAGAAAGACAGATAGATAAATAGATCGATAGACAGCTACAACTGCAACTACAACTACAACCACGCTACGCTGCCACTACAGATACAAAAGCAAATATACTACACTACACTACACTAGGCGACAGCCACAACTACAACTACAACTACAACTACGCTACATTTCACAACGCTACGCTACACTAATTACACTACACTACAACTACAACTCCAACTACACCTACCACTACAACTACAGCTCACAACACTACAGCACATTACACTACATCACATTACACTACACTCATTACACCACACCACAACTACAACTGCAATTTCACTAATTACACTGATTGCACTACACAACTACAACTCCAACACTACAACTACAGCTGCGCTACACCACACTACATCCATCAGTTGTGTCCGTAACCACTGCAACCACTCCAAAAACACAGAACTCCAACCACTTTTTGGTCCATCAGTGGATTCGCTCTGCCATCCATGCATCACAACAACTCACCTCTCCTATAGTATCCTATCCTTGAAACTTCCACCACTGCCTTGTGCGGTACTACTGGTAATTTAATGGGAAAATCATCAATGATGGGGGCTTTCAATTGCCACATTCAGTTCAAAGTTGCTCGGACCTAGATTTCAATTGATCCATGAATCCATGATTTCATATGTTTTTGATCTATGCATTTTCTGGAATAAATCAATATTGGCTAGTTGCAGAATGTGTATGTGAGCGTGTTCAATTTTCGGATACGCCCAGTCTGCCATCGGTCATGCTCCATGTCAGCGATCCGTTCCTCCACAAAATCCGGGCTTGCTTGTGCGATGTATTCCGCCGCCTGCTCCTGTCGAGGTGCTGGAGGTGCACCGATGAAATTTCAACAAAAAACAAGGTGTCTAATCCATTTAATTCTATCTGCATATAGATGTAATGCGCACACAGCCAAACCTGAAAACACAGAACTTAATGTTTGTCTTTTGCCAAGTAATGGATACTGTTAGCCCTGGTGATGGGTACTGTGAGGTCATGGTATGCATAGACTAAACAGACTTCTGAAACAAGTATCTTCCTGATCGTCCGACTTTAAAGAAACGATGGTATACCGTTGTGTGGAAATGATTCCCCCTGCTGACCTTTTTCTTTTCCCGCATCTTTGCCAGATTCCGGAGCAGGAACAGAACCAAGCAAGGAGTGTGTTTCTTACGATAAGGCTACCCCATTTCACCATTGGTTCCCTTCAAAAAAAAGAAAACAACGGTTTAACTTGGAGGACAACTGACAACTTGGGTTTTCCAGAAATTTCAGAAATACATATTGTATTCCAGTAATTGTGTATGAATAAATTGTGCATTCCCGTTACTGTGTATTAGAATGAATGCCAGTGTTTATGCAACTATGTTTTTATATATTTTGTATGTATATATATAATCATTATGTTTATATACAATCATCCTGAAATAGATAGAATATTAGATCATATTAGGTGTTTCAATCATATTCCCATTGTAAAAGTGAGGTGTCAAACATGGCCTGTGGTATCACCCATTGAGTTCGTTGATTTTTTTCACCAAGCATTTCCCAGCGAACTAAACCTCCATTTATAGAGAATTTTCTAAACAAAATCCACCATGTATAGGAAATGTCCCTATGATTTTCCAATGTTCCAACGATTTTCGCATGTCAAGACATGATCTTCATATATCTTATAGGTTCCCATGATTGTCCCATTTCCATGCATGTATGATAGGAGCCTTTTTGAAATCTTCCATTCCGATCCTACATCCCCACAGTTGTGGCCGTTTACCAATTATAAATGGATATAAGTGGTTAAAGACGGGATTATACATTCCATAAATGGGGTTTCTTGGTACTTATAACTGGTATTTCGGGCCATAGCATGATCTTGCCATCCAAGTCCGTCCGTCCTTCAGAATTCCTTCGCCGCAATGACCTCCACCCATAGTCTGATCCTGCTGTCAAACAACCACCGGGAAACAGATGGGGAATAAAAGCAACGCTCATGGGTACATAATGAGGATACAAAGGACATACAAAGGTATGTAAATATATATATATAGATATTTTACATATATATATAGATATAGGTGATCACAACGAAGCCAAAAAAGAACATACACCTTAACAAGTGCCTTCTCAACTTCTAATCTGCTGCAAGCCTCTCATATTCCATCATATTCCTTGATATTCACAATTATCCAATGTCCACAATATCATTCCAGCATATTCCATCAATTTCCATCAGTCTCCATTTATTTCCATCTATGTCCACCTCATGCCCGCTGCTATTTCCATCATGTTGCATCTATTTCCACTTATTTGCTGGGGATTCACCATTTTTAGACAGGTCCATATACAGTATTGTCGTTTTGTTGTCTGCTGAAATTCATCCATTCCCAAAATCGCAATGTTTATGAGAGATATTTCAACCATCGGTAGTTGTTTTTTATTGGCTTTCTCACTTTTGCTGGTTGGTGGTATACCTACCCCTCTGAAAAATATGAGTTCGTCAATGGGAGGTATGACATTCTAATAGAACATGGAAAGTCATAAAATTCTATGTTTCCAAACCACCGACCAGTAATCCCATTTTAAATCTTATGGGACCACCATTCTGGCCAAGCGCTCAGCTTCCACAGGAAAGCCGTCGCGGTTGGAAGTTAGAACCCCCAATGTTCAGCAATGATGTATATACTTCCAAACACTGGGCGTATCGCTTCTGCAAACCTTTCCTGCAAGTGATTGATCCAAGGCATTGGGAAAATATTACCTATTATTAACCATTATTAATCACCATGCCATTGCTGAAATTCATCCAAGGTTGACCCAGTTGTTGCTCAGTCCATGTCCCAGACCACCACTTTGATGCCACGCTCTCTCAGCTTTGCCTTGGCTACAGGAGAGTCTGGGACAAAACCCGAAAAAACCCTCTGGTGTACACCAAAATAGCAGAGTTGTTTTTGGATGGTCATCCCCTCCCAATATATATATATACATGTATTATATATATATGTATTATATATATAATACATATATAATATATATATATATATTGTATATATATATACATATGTATTATATACATGTACGTATGTATATATATATGTGTGTGTACTATATATGTATATATAAACATATGTATTATATATGTATATAAGTATATTATATATACTTATATTAAATATTATATATATATATACATATATATATATATATATATGTAATATATATATATATATGCTGTTATGCAATTTATATAAAGAGAGGGGCAAAAAGTGTTGATCCATCCTTGAAATGAACACCCTGGCCAGAAATGCCATTAGCGAGCTGCGATGAAGGCCCGACACCTGGATGAGAATGCTGCCTGGCATCGTGCCGTCTGGGTCCCCATTTTCAAAGATGAAACATGCAGACATCTGAATTGTTTGTATATTTGCACTATAATTGTTGGTAATGACATGTAGTGATCCATGCACAATCACATTCAAGAGACTTCAATTTCAGTAGAATCCAATCCGGCCACCAAAAAAGATGTGACTGACTTGTGTCGTGCTCTCAATCAATCAATGTTCAAGACTCCACAAAAGAAGCCGAACTTGGGCCCAGATGTCTGTACCTACACGTGCCCACAAATCGCTAGCGATTGGAAACCCACCAATCAGCTTATAGCCGGCATAGTCTTCAACTAGCTGGAGATTTCGAGGCTGTGATATGATGGAAGGATAAGCACCTTTGTAGCCAATTACCCTATGGTAAACATACAAAAAGCATCAACAAGCGAACTGGAAAATCATCATATTTCATAGGTAAATACACGAACTACCATCTGGTTATGACTAACATAGCCATGGAAAATCACCATTTTTAATAGGTAAACCATCTATTTCAATGGGCCATGGCTTCGATGGCTATGTTAGTCATAACCAGAGGGTAAATGGCCCATTTTCAATCGCCTCGAGCGGCAAGACTTTCAGGCGAACCAGGAAATTCCGCAAGCCTTACTAAAGGGACTGGGGGTTCATGGCTGGAAACAACAACCAGCCGTTGTTTTTTTTTGGTCATCAATAATATGAAGAATATGTTGGATTATATGTAGTTATATATCATATGATCTATACATACATCATTATAGTAAGGTATAATGGGCAATATAACCCAACTTCATATGATTGGGGTACCTAACAAGTTAGAGTTAGAGGAACATCCTTATATCTCCACTGTTGAAGAGCCTCATGTTTGTTCCATTAAATTGCCATTTTATGGGTCTACCCCTTTTCAGACACATTCGCATGGGACACCGACATGTGATTTGAAGTAGACTTGACCATCTTCAGCTCTGCGAACTCATATGTTTCATGGGTTTATTACGGTTTATCTCATCCATGTGCAGTTCCAGTGATAACTAGACACACACACATATGTATATATATATATATATGTACATATATATATATATATATATATATCTGTATATATTTCGAGGGCTTGTATCCCAGCATATGGGGTCATTCCCATGGTTGTACCCATCCATAAGCCCCGTGCCCAAGGCACCCCAGTCGTGGCTGGGCCACACGGCCCATGCTGCACGTGTCAAAGCAGGACCTACGGAATGACCAGAGTTCAAGTGTTCCAACGTGTCATGTGTATATGCATAGATACACCTGTGCCTTAAAATTCTGTACAGATTTATAATATTTATACAAAATAATGATATATATATATAATATCTAAGATGTGGTAAAGCCAAGTTCCCGACAGCTCAGAGCTCATGCCACCTGTCGTGCCACGGAAACAAAATCTCCGGTGGGCTGTTCGTTTCCATGGAAAAAAAACATGCAGAAAATGATGAGACGACCAGAAAACATCGACCTTTTTCATGGAAAAAACAATGAAGTAACATTTCAAACATACGGCAACGAATTAGCACATGAAAATAATTGAAAATACATGAAACACACCTGACAGTGAAGGTCAACATATGGAAGAAACACATGCAACAGCTACGGTCCAAATATGGTCCAAATGGTGGAGCTTCCATGATTCGTCACATCGCATCAGCGCCCAAGGCGCCCAAGTGCCAAGGTCATCCGAGTCAACCACCAAGCCAGGATAGACAAGTTACAGCTACCCCCAATATCCCCAAAAAAAAGATGGTGAATACTATATATAACATATCCCTTACAAGTAAATAATGGGTATATCATGGTATATCCACATAATAAATGGTTCATAATTCCTTAGAAGTGGTTAAACAAAAACCTATGGATGGTGAATCATTTGGTTCAGAATCCCCTGAAACAAGTGGTTGTTGGTGCTTCAGGTTGCTCAGTTGAATGCGCCTAAGCCGCCCGTCTTGGTGAAGCGAAAGGCGGCCCGTGCTAAGCGAAGCAGCGTTGATCTTTTGTTAGATGGAGCCCTTGTTTGGGTTTTGCTGATCACTGTTGGTTCTCACTGTTAATATGAGGTTGTTCTTTCAGTTGCAGCTTGAACTCTGAAACTGAGATTCGTTTATACTTTTAACACTACTGTAAGGCACTCGAAATTCATGAATGCTTAAATGCAATGGTGCAGCTGGACAGGTGAAATACAGAAGCGAATAGATCCTGGATCACCTGCTGATCCGCAGTTGTCTAAGCTTTGAACCGAGCCCAGCGACGATTTACCGTGGATTTACACTATTTATTTGACAGAAAACTTAAATCTATATTTGGAAATTATAGTATACCGATACCTAATAGCATTGAGATATGCATATTATTTTTGTTTGTAACTTGATAAAACAACACATCGGATTAGTACACAGTCAAAATAAACACAAGGTACCCTTGTTGGCCCACTGCTTACCAATACAAAACAACTTATTGAAAGCTGCTGCCCCCAGAACCATACGCAAGCAAAAGTACACAACACCACAAAATCAAACATAAGTTAGTCATATTCTGTGCGAATCACCTCTATATCACCATTAGAAGGGCAAATAGGCAATCCCGAAGACAGGTAAACTCGGTTAGTGATGATGTGGTCAGAACCTTCCAAAGTCAAATGTTCAGGGCAATGAACCAAAGGCAAATTCAGTTAAGTTCAGGCTTGACTTCCATGTCAACTTGTATCTGCTTAGTGGTTTCAATCAGGATTGTTACATTAGCATTGTACATTTAGCGCGTAATTGATACCACCAACCCGGTACAAAGGTTCCTTAAGCTCCGCTAAACAATCTCAACATACACTCAAAATAAGGGTACCAGTATCACCGCCAACTTAGAAATAATATCGGACGCAGCAGGTATACCCTCTGGTAAACTAACATAGCTATGGAAAATCACCATTTTCAATGGGAAAATCAGCTATAAATGGCCATTTTCAATAGCTATGTTAGTTTACCGGAGGGTAAACTGATCTTGAAAACAAGTTCAGCATCTCCGTTGTGTTTTCGATCTCCAAAGTTCAGTTGGGACACCAGCCTGTCCAAGCCATGGTTTGAACCAATGGTTTCTTGGTTTCTCATCAGTTTCTCTTTTTTGCATTGCCACAACTGGGGTCAAACAAAAACACTGGACTATAGCCATCTATAGCCTAATATTTGTTGATTACAGCTTGAAATTCTCTCAAAACATATCCCATAGTATTGTTGACTGCACTTCGAATTATCTCTATCATACATGTAATCTCAAATAATCTCATATATACTACTGGATGACACTAATCTAAAATAATATCATGTATAAGTTATAATAGATTATTATCTAATATTGTACCATGATATATATATATATATATATACATATACACATAGTACACTATACCATGATACTAATCTATTATATTCTATTATACTAGGTTACTAGATGGTATACCATGGTATACCCATTTCATTTTGTTCGTTTTTACATCCCCATGAGACGCCATGTCCAAGGCGCCGAAACTGGTGCCGCGCTGCTGCGGTTTGGGAGCGGCCTTGGCGCCAGCTGATGTTTTTTGGACCATTGAAGGGGATGAACATATTATATACACACACACATTATTGAGTGTATATATATATATATAGTACAGTGTGAGGCCCCCCAGTTATAAGTTGGTTAACAAAAGCCCCAGTAACTATAGTTATTTGCGTACCATAAACCATAGTTATTGGAGTTATAAACGAACTTAGCTATCTTGGGGGCCTCACATTGTAACAATGTAAACAAAAAATACGATAACATTTAACTATCATCTATAGAATGATGTGATCGCCACGCGCCTGCTTGGAAATGATCTCCGACGCTTGTCGCTTGAGATCCATCCAATCCTCTCCACGTTGAGGAAACATGAGTTTGTGCGGGGTCAGGGCCTTCATACGTTGACAAAAGGGTGCTTTAACGGCTGGAATCGTCAAAAAATGATGGAATTTTAAGGGACCCATCATGATGGGACTCCCATTCCCATACTACTCCTATGCGATTCCCACGTTCGAAACCTCAACTGTATGGGAGGATGTTTGGAAATGGGGTCCCATCAGCCAGAGGGTCACTGTGCATCTTCCATGATGGGACACTCATTCTCAGCTTCGTAAATTTACCATGCTACTGGTGGTAGTTTTGGCCAACATTCGTGGGTATTTCTACAACAATCCAACAATATCCAACAATATTGGCCTCTCAGTTAGAAGAAGGTCAGGCATCAAACCCTAATGTACCCTGGCACAGTATCAAAAAGTGTATTCCGTGTAGTTGCGTTGTGTCATTCCCATTGACAATTTAAACACATCTGGCCTATATAAGGCTTATTTTTCAGGCCTAAGTAAGTGAATATCACCACAAAATATGGCCCAAAATATGGTACTAACGTAGATCCATTTTAGGATCCTGAAATTCCCATTGGCTGGCTGGTGGTTTCAATTTCATTTCATACAGTTCGAAATTCCAGTCCCGGCAGTGGATATCCAAGCCGGGATGATGGAATACAACTCGGCGGGTCATGATTAGCCGGTGATTCTAAGTGGGTTATAGCCCGTTTATATTCAGTTAGAAGGGGTTACAAGGGGTTACAAACTACTTAAGTAATTCCACAGCATATCTAAGTATCAAGCATCTTTCAATTAAAACAAGAGAACTGCCCAGCACCTGTCCCGATCGAGTCCTCCAAGATACCCTTGCGCCGGTCTATCAATTGACCAACGAACTCAAAGGCCTGGAAACAAAGCAACATGGACAAACTGGTTTGAGCAGTTGCAGGCAACTTGTCAACAGGAGTCAGCATATAATGATCTGAACATGGCGAACAAAAAAACACATGGCTGCCATCCCTCCCTTAGAAATACACGCGCATGGGCTAGCAATGCACCAACGCACCAATGCACCAATTCATGGCATACCTACAAAGGAATCATGTGCAGTTGAGGATAAAACAAGTAGCAGCACATACCACTACAGTACATCTACTAAAGTCACAGTACCAATCAGTCATAACTCTGGTCACATGCTCTGTCTATTACGTTCTACAACGATGCTGACATGACAGTGGCCTCAAAACCAAGGAAGTCGATAAGAGCGTTCTGATCCGCGTCCTTCAACTTCTCCAAACACTTGGAATTCCACACGGTTCAAACAGATCCAATGTTTTTGTCTCATCTTTCAACCATTCTATTGTTATTCACACACAAAATCCATAGCTGAAAAACCAAAAAAACAAAACAAACAGTCCTTAAATCAGTTGTTGTTTTACTATTGAAAATCACATTTTCAAATGGGTAAATCAACTATAAATGGTTATTTCCCAAAGCTATTTTGACATAACCAACGACTTGTCGGTCGGATCAACACCCCTCAGCTCAGCGAGTCTGTCTCCTCGCCACCTCGGTCCAACCTGGCGCTCGCCAAAACTGAAGATACACATATTTTAGTCACCCTAGTCACCCAGAAAAGGAACAGTGAAATCCAACATATATAGGGATTATACCGGGATTATGTGTTAAACTAAACTCTATTTGTTTTTGTTGGATTCCTATTAAGGAACCATCAAAAACACGGGGGGGCGCTCTGCAAATGTTCTCTTCATCCAATTCTAACTGGGAATCCTGTTGCCCTATCCAGTTATGTCTGTGGGCTAACCCCATGACCTACCCTCTGGTAAACGTTATCAAAAAACTTATGGAAAATCACCATGTTTAATGGCTAAAATCAACTATTTCTATGGCTATTGTCCATAAATTAACATAGACCCTGGCAGTCATCGGGGTTGGAAGATTCGTGTCCATTAAAAATTGGCTATTTTCCCTTGTCCAACTGTTAATTTACCAGAGGGTAACAGCCATTACCAGAGGGTAGAGTCTCTAGTCCTCCATAAATCACTGCCATATCAAACATCGAGGCCGCTGCGTTGTCACCTGAAATGTGACCTTCTCGTAAACGTTTACAGTTTGCGAACTTGAAAATGGCCCAGTGATAGTTGATTTACCTATGAAAAATGGTGATTTTCCAGAGTTATGTTAATTTACAAGAGGGCAATATGTCATAAAAGGGTGATCGGCAAAAAAAAACATTCACCATTATTTCAAACGTAAACCTTTCAAACCATCTGGGTTTAAGAATGCTCTAGTATGTACCCTCTGGTAAACTAACGTAACTATGGAACATCACAATTTTTTAATGGGTAAATCCACTATAAATTGCGATTTTCAATAGCTATGTTAGTTTACCAGAGGGTATGTATATATATATATATATAGTGATTTCCCGAAATCTAGGGAGCTCCGTCCCCCCGAAATATCCATACATTGCAAGCATCATTTGGTCCATGAACTACAGCATGCTAGAAAAACTGTGCCAGCTGCTTCAGTTGCTGGGGATCCTCAAGTGATAAATCTCCCCAATCTTTGGATTGGTATTATCCCCAAATGAAGCAGCGTAAAATAGCTGCATGTTCAACCCTAAACGCTACTAAACCCAGGAGTGAACAACACCCCAAAGATTGAAGATATTCCGAAATATAAAAAGATCCATCAAGAGAAGATGAGAGTGTCAACCACCAACATGAATTGCGTTTGTGATCCAACCACCGTTTTCACTAATCACTCACCAAAAAATGACTATGATGAAAATAGAACATGACATGTTGTCCAACAGTTGAGATATATTTAAGATCTGACGATATGCCATAGATACTATGAATACACATATAAAATGTCCTGTACTTGAAGATGATAAGATGATCAATCTTTGGGTGTCCAAAAAAAAATGTCATCTTTTGCTGGTTATAATCATAATTTTCAAATTATAACCAACAAACATATCCAAGATTTTCCACTACCCATCCAATCGATTTGGGGATAACAATAAGAGTATTAAGATTCGCCAGGCGCACGTCTCCAGCAATTGGCCCATCAGCTCTTCGACCGTCATGGAGGCGGAGGAGCCTGAGGAGCCTGCGCTCTCCGAATGTGACCAATCAAAACCGAAAAAACGATCCAAATGGGTATGGGTCAATACCTATAGATACATTTTTAGTGGGATGAACATCCATAAATCCCAGCTATGACTTGGGGTTCACTAGGTACCAAGGTTTTGACCCATCCCCAAATGGTTCCCTGGTGCTTTGAGTTGATTTTTGGACTGGAAGTTCCCCAGGGCCGCAAATTTCAGGGTGAAATCCTCAGGCGGCAGAGCGCATGATGCTGGGAACATACGGCGATTTCAACGGTCAATGGCTGGGTCTGCTTAAAAAGGTTTTGATCCATCCCGCTAGTTGCAATCTTACGCAGCTGGAGGTGAATTTCTCAATAACTACATGGCTGGACACATTGAGTGCCCTATTCTTCGTGACTGATCTACCTTAACTTGAACTGTTCGATGCATTCTGTGTGTGCAAGATTGCCAGTATCAGCAACCATGCAACTTATTGAACTATGGATTTGTCTTTTGCAGTATAGTGTGGAAATATGGCTTAAGGTAATTGTATAATATATATATAATTATGTATATATATATTTACATATATATATATATGTTGAAAAACTTGTATGCCATTGCATAAGCAATAATATATATATATATATTATATACTGTGTATATATGTAATTATATGCTACAAGTAGGAAATTATGTCACTAACCTACGAAGTTAGAGGATCGGACGGATTAGCCCAAATCCGCTGCCTGAAGCTCTTGCGAGGTGCTCTTCACAAGAGTCGCGGAACCAAATCAGCTCCTCAACATCACGAAATCCAGAATTTAGTATGTTGAAGTATCTTCCACAGGGTATACTCAAATGACTTGGGAACATGTTTTGGATTTTAGCCCTCAATGGATGATTTACAGTATATACCTGATCAAAAGATGTGTGTTTTTTTATCCATAACCATGCTAGGTTACCAAAGGACCCAGCAGGGTATCCAATCTGGGTGTAAAGCTTCCAACCATCGGAAAACACGGGGATATGACGTGATTTTTCAGCAAGAACATCATGATATTTGATGGTGTCTGAAAATAAGGATACAATGGGATAAAAAAGAGAATACAGTACTGTACGTGGTATATTTCATGTTTCTCCGGATTAAACCTAAAAACATTGAAATATCGACAATTGTGATGAACCATACATTGAACCGTTGTAGCATATGGGTTACCATATCTTGAGACAAACCATAGAATTTGCAGTTACCCCACTGGAATGTGGCCGCACGTATTCGTCACAGTCGTCCCACCGGCGACTTTTTTCAGCTCCCCTGGGAAGTCCAGGTGCATCTTATATAACAGAGCAGGGACACATACTCATTTATACAACATACACTGAGGTTCTACTATGAAAAATATTACCCACAGGATCCATGTATTGTATATATGCTAACACGACTAGGGTATATTGATGGGATCCATGTTACCATATATAGCATAGGTTATATGTTCAGTACATGAAAAAAAGTCTACCGAAGAAACCGTCACAGCTCACTGAAGGGCTCCTTCCGTGGTGCACTTTTGGGCGCCTTGTTCTTGGAGGCCTCAAGAACACCAATGAGTCAATGAGACAATGAGTCAATGAGTCAATGAATCAATGAGTCAATGAATCAATGAGTCAGTAGCAAACGCAAGTGCAAACTCAAACCCTCTGGTAAACTGAGATAGCTCTAGAAAATCACATTTTTTAATGGGCAAAACAACTATAAAAGGCCATGTCCAATAGCTATATTAAATTTTCCAAAGGGTAGACTTGAACTCAAGAACAAATCCAATAACGAGTACTGTAACATAAACCACCACTCGAAACCCAATTTAGGATTGTCATCCCAAATATGATGGAACATGAGAAAAACAATGTTTGAAACCGTCACCAATCAGTCTCAACTCGAGTTTTCTTGTGGAAAAATACCCACAAAAAAACTCCGTGAGTGGTTGGCATCCCCAGTTGTGTCCCCAAATCTCACAAGACATTACTCAGTCCTGTCAACTAACAACACGATGCGCTTGTCCCCAGCATTGATCATTTTTTGCAGGGGTTGGGGCCAAGCAGCACTGGAGCTTGCGGTGTCAGCCATCAGGGCCTGAGACGTGTTGATATGTTTGTATTGACCGGGCCCACCGTGAGGGTTCAGGAATCCAAATCTGTATATATGATGAACCTCTTCCAACCAAAATACATGTTTTTTATTCCCAGCTTCCACCAGCTTTCTTCACAGCAGAAGTATAAATTAAGCCTTTTACACACGGGATCTATGTATGAAAATATCATATATATATATATATATATATATGCATGCATTTGCATTCGCATGCATAAGTGTATGTTATGGACCACCTCAACAATAGTGTCATTCCATGTATAGTCTCTGATAGACCCAGTCACTAAACACTTGCTACCGACAATGCACATTCAAATATCATCTTACCACTTCATTGGACGCGTCGTCCCACTTGTACAAGATGGTGATACAAGGACATATTATAACATATTAGGATATGATATGCCTATCTCCGCATATAGTATTTAGATATAGTAGTGTTCAAACATAGTCTCATTGATTTCACATGAAATGGTGCATACCCTCACATGGCAATTTGAATCAGAAAATGTATGATAAATTAATGGGAGTACTTAGATGGGCCAAGTGCACATCATGTTTTCGCGTCTGAAAGAAAATCCGGAAAACACTTACTGGTGCTTAGTAGGGAATGGATGGGAATAGGGGAATGGGATTATTATTGATAGTTATTGTGGATCATTCCCTCATTCCCTGCGTTTAGCACTAGTAAGAACATCATGATCTTACCATTTGTTTCCGATGAACATCGCCAGAGCTGTCTGTCGCCTCGTCCCTTTCTACTGGGTGGATTCTGATCATCCTGATCATCCCCCAATTTTTTGTTTGTATAGCCCCAAAACTCATCAACAGGGGTAGCCAGTGCTCACAAACAAGTTTTATATACCATGTTTCACCATGTTTCACCACATTTTGTCCATGTTTTCCCCAGCATTTTCAGGTCCCAAAACCCGCCCAACCCCGTCCCCGCCGGTTCCCCATCCACCTTGGCTCGGTTGAAGAAGAGCTGCTCCGGCGTCGCGGTGATGGGCTCCGGCTCGTCGGGCGTCAAGCGCCAGGCCGAGGAGGAGGCTTCCAGGGGGTAGATGAAGTCCAGGTCCGAACCGAACCTGCAGGAAAAAAGGCCGTAGAAACCAATTCTATGACCCTTTGGTAAACGTTAACTATGGAGAATCACCATTTTCAAGTTTCTGGAAAGGATATTGATATTCTGGTTGGTGGTATACCTACCCATCTTGAAAATGATGGAGTTCGTCAATGGGAAGGATTATCCCATATATGAAATGGAAAAAAACAATGTTCCAAACCACCAACCAGCCAATTAACCAATAATATGGGATTAAATGGTGACATGACTGGTAATAAATGGTAATAGATTGGATTAAATGGGATTAAATCCATTATATGGTGAAAGAACTGGTTACAAATGCTGGTTGGTGGTATACCTACCCATCTTGAAAAATGATGGAGTTCGTCAATGGGATGGATTATCCCATATATGAAATGGAAAAAAACAATGTTCCAAACCACCAACCAGCCAATTAACCAATGATATGGGATTAAATGGTGACATGACTGGTAATAAATGGTAATAGATTGGATTAAATGAGATTAAATCCATTATATGGTGAAAGAACTGGTTATAAAATGTTATAAATGCTGGTTGGTGGTATACCTACCCCTCTGAAACATGTGAAAGTCAGTTGGGATGATGACATTCCATATTCCCAATATATGGAAAAATAAACAATGTTCCAAACCACCAACCAGCCGATTATATGGTGAAAGAACTGGTTATAAATGGGATTAAATGATTTTTTTTGACTCAACCATTGGTGACTTGATGCAAATCTTCCGGAAACCAGAGGGAAAGCCTTACAGTAGATTTACTATTTTTTTACCATGGTTTCCTGCAGTTATGGCAATGAAACAAATGGTGAAATAACCGGTGAAAATTTTATGGGATTGTACATAAACCACTATGATGGGGTGACTTGTACTTTAAACTTATAACTGGTGTTTCGGGCCATAACTGCAGGAACACGTCAAACAAACAACAGGGTAGTGGCATGGTGATTGTGATGTCTTTTGAGTAACATCATATGTAACCCGATATGACAAGTAGTATACAATTGAGCCAGACTACCACGTTTGATTGGTTGTGATCAGTTATACTAGCTGGTTATTCGGAATTAATTATATAAACCGCACATATACAGTAAACCTTTGAACCACCTAGTTTAATATACTATAATGAGATGGGATTGATGGGATAGGGGCAGTTTTGAATGGTTGAATTTGGATAACGGGATAGGTGTCCCGTTGGTTATTGGAGGCATGTGAACAAACCAACTCAGCAAATCCGACCATGTTGAAACCACCTTGGTGCGGAAGTCAACAAAACAGCTAATGTGATACACCCAATGCCATGAACCATCCCAAATAGAGGTTTTGTTGCGTTTCTTTATAGGATCTTTATAGGCCAAAAAACCATGGTGCGGAAAAAAGCGACATGGGATGATGGTGAATGTGATTCGGAACCTGACGTGAAAATCTGTGAAAATGGGATGCAGTTTCAATAGGATACAACTACTGGATATTAGTTGATGTTAATGGATATTAGTGGATATTTATGGGGTTTTTAATAAAAAACAAGAATATGATCTTTGTGTCATAATCGCTCCCTGGCCACCCTAGAATCCCACCAGTGGGATTAGTTGCTGTCATATGATGTCATCAAGAGAGAGTACACACATCCTGAAATTGAGCAATGAGACATCACGCATGATACACATGGCTTGGTGTGGTAAAACAACTTCAGCTTTTGAATGTTTTACCTCACCAACTGAGAAAAAACAAAGAACACCAAAGGATCATCATGTTCCCCATGAAAACTTGGGCTATGGATGCGGGGTATACCCATGTCTAAAGACAAACACCCTTATTGTTGGTTATAATCTCATCAACACAAAATCCTTGCAGCAATAACAAACAAATTTGTTGCTTGACACGCCCGTTAATGATGGGTTACTCTAAGTCCCTATGTTTGTTGTATGGAATCCCATATTAGTGGGTAGAACTTAATTCTCGATCTCTTACTGAGAAACCCCCAATTGTTCCCAGTAATTACATACCACTATATATTGCCTATAACCATATGTTTGGATTCCCCACTATATGTTCCTTGCTGCATCACCCCAGTACGTGAGCCAAGTTTGCAGGTTTGCAGCAATGGGTGAACACCAACAGACTTAACTAGGAGGCACCACATTTTTGGAGTTTATGACTGGTTACAGGTTATAACATGTTATAACCCATGGTAGCATGGAACATTGACATATTCGAAACCAGATAGCTAGCTAACTTAGCTACCCAATGGGGCACCCCTTGGGATCGCTGCAACTTGGCAGCTCAAACTCCATGTCCGTCTTCGGGCCGGTGCTCTTGGTCGACTTGTCGTCCGACGCCGGAAAGCGATCATACCTGGCGCCATATTTGTAACTACCCCCGCAATTGTTCATTGAACATGTAAGCCGGATTATGGATAATCATAAAGGTAACAAGTAACGATGATGATGATGATGATGATGATGGTTACTATGGTGATGATGGTGACGACGAAGAACATTACCATAAATACATACATTCATTGAAGAACAGAATATGTGTAGTCAACTGTGTAATCATGGAATACCCAATTTGGATTCGTGTTGACCAGTTTGACCCTCAACCTAACTCAGGACATCAACCATCAACCCTCTTTTCCACAGCGCCTGTAGAGGTTCTGCGCCAAGCTTTTGAGCCGGCTGAAGTTTGGTTTTGTGAAGGTGAGGATAACCTGGCAGTTCCACAACTGGGGTATACCGTACGGTATACCGCATATCCTAAAATAGCCGATTTACATCGCAAAGAACAAAAAGGCACTTCTAATCCTTTGGAATCCTTTGGATATGTTGGTCCTCACCGCTGATATTAACCTGAACATAGGCCAGAAGTAGACGCGCCTGCTTGATGGCCTCAAATTGCTCATCCTCATTCATCGACATGCCCTGCGAGCAGTTTTGCGGCAAAGCTTCGTGATAGTACTGTAAATCTTACCCTCTGGTTATGTCAAAATAGCTATCGGAAATGGCCATAGAAATAGTGGATTACCCATTAAACATGGTGATTTTCCATCGTTTTTTTGTGACAGTTTACCAGAGGGTATAGATCAAAATGCTTCGTTCACCATACCAGGCACATCAGCAAACCAATGCACATAAACACTGAACTGAACTAGTGAACAGAAAAATTGGGATGCTAAATACCCGGAGAACAATACAATCCACAATTAGTCCAACTTAGAGATCAATGCATCTTTTAACCGTCTACTCATCTTATTCGACACTCTGCAAGTCGACCTTTCCAGCCGTTGTGTCATAGACAAACTCGGCGATGCTTTGTCGATCCACCTCATCACCTGCTAGGGTTTTGTGGCCGCGTCAATGGCTAACAGGATAACCATAGTGATAGCCTCAATAATAATTTGGGATATAACCCTGGTAAGTATGGTATGTATATAGTTGGTATATGTATTATATCTATATACTGTATATAACTTTAACATAATATATATATACATACACACATATCCATTCACAACTCATTGACTGGAACAGCACTTCCGAGTAGGAGCATCTTTTGACAACATAAAACTATATACAGTGGCTTGTAAGGCTCATGACTTGAAACCACATCCAGCGGCATTTCTGGTTGGGTGATCTCTATTGGTTCGTGGAGGATACTAAATATTCTGTATATATATATACATGTAACATATATGATTACACATGTATACTATGGTACTATATAACATAGTCATATATTGTCAATGTTGAAATAATAAATAAGACCATGATATCAATAGTAATATCATGTAATATCAAAATCTGTGAACTCTTGCCCGCACTAATTCAGTCAAATATTTTCCACCGCCTTACTGGGACCTGTTCGACCATCCAACAAGGTCTATGTTAGTTGCGGCCCGTAACCCCCACTTTGGCCCTGCCCGAAAAGCCCTAAAAGGGCCCTTCGCAAACCCTTCGCAAACCCTTCGCGCCTGCGACTTTCCCGCACTGGTTCAAGAAGGAGTTGAAGTACTGCCGCGCATCGTGCTTGTCGCCTGCCAAGCCGTCGGGGCGAACGAACCTGAGCCGCCAGGGAGGGCCAGGGAGGGCCAGGGAGGGCCAGGGCCACCAGGAATCAATCAATCTCCATGTCCAAAAAACCAGCTGTATCAATGGGTAATTGGCAAAACAAGATGTAGCTGGTTGGTGGTATACCTACCATCTTGAAAAATATGAGTTCGTCAATGGGAAGGATGACATCCCATATATGAAATGAACAAATAAAAAATGTTTGAAACCACCAACCAGAATATGTAGACAGCGGCAAGAATGAAATGACAATTGGAACTAAGTAATCACGTGATGAGGTATAGAATTACCAAATTTCAATCCATCAGTTTGCTTTCTGTAGTATCTGGATATCTCGAAAAAAACAAATACGGTGATGTCAGGTCTCTAACACATCGTCCAACCCCTGACCTTAGGTTATTATTTCCTATATAAACATTATAAACATATGTAAACAAGATTGATGGGTACTTTGGTGCTAAACACATATACATTTGAACGCCATATGTTCACCTTTTTCTTTGTCCCCAATCTTTTGCAAGCCACTTCTGCATGCAAAAGCCATCTTTCGCGGTGATTTTCTTGTCGCCATTCTTTCCACGTAGCTTCTCTAACGCCTGCGTAAGGAAGGCAGGTCCAATAATTTCATTAAATCTCAACATACCTGCAAGGTGATACCAAAGCTTCGCTAAGTTGGTCCTAGGATAACATAATATAAGTATAAAGGGTTTATGGATGTTTTCTGGTAGATACATCATGATGCGCGCTTTAAACCAAAAACCATAAATTGCTGGTACGTATTTTGAACCAGAAAGACAGAACACGTCATATTTCAAGGTTTCTGACTGTCTATCTATTTTGAGGTTTCTATGTTGTAAGCATAGCAGAGTGTTCACAGGAGTCCTGACAATTCTGAAAAAGAGGCAGGGAATTGAACAACACAAATCAGCTCAAGAAACCCCAGAATTGACGTGCACATCCTATTTCATCCTATACTAAAAAAACGTCTATAGCACTCATCATTGGGAACATAAGTTGTCTAATCACATATTCTCAGACAACTCCTTATGCCAACACTTCACCTGCTAATGCAGGGATAATCTTGATCCAAGAGATGATTTATTGACCAAAAGCATCAAACATTGCATCAGGAAGCCTTTGGTAATTAGATTTTATGACACCAATACAATATCATCACATATCTAGAGTATCTATGGTGGCACATCGTTTTTTAAGCATGGATTATCCGCCAGCATCAGTGCCACCAGTGGCACATCGCCCATTTCATCGCCTGATAGCGCGCTATAGCCTCACTGTCCACGTCGAAATGCACACGATCCGCCGAATAAAGGCGAGCACGCAGCATGCCCGTGAGCCTGCGGCAACTGGCTGCCGGACATCTAAAGAAACAAAAAACCTTAGGTGAACAACCATAGTTATGTCCCAAATATGTATATATATATATACATATATATATATATATAGGATTATATAGGATAATCCCAGCTACAAGTAGGGAACTTACTAGCCTATAATTGGGTTAAGTAAGCGCTTGCTAAGTGGGCTGCTCCCGTTTCCCCACCACGTCCTGGGTCGAAAGATGCTGGACTGAGCGCCTTGCCTCAGCTGGAGCCCCAGTTTGTTGGCTCAGTTGTCTTTCCTTGGATTTCATTTAGGAACCCCAAACCAATACTAAACAAATAGGATTCATATATTCCCCTTTAGATTTCCCAGTCATGGTGGATGTCCCATGCGGAAAACAAATGGAATTCCGAGAGCTAGGCTTATTGGGAAACAAATTCCTAATATGTATATGATAGTAATGTAACATATAATGATGTAATACATATGATATATATTGGAACTACTAGGTCATATGTAATATTACCTAGTCATATATGTATAAATAATATCATCCCTCCGGTGACATCAAACGTGGAGAATTCCAACCACTCATGGGTGGGGAATTTCCATTGCCACGCCTGATTACAGGAGGCTACACATACACATACCTATGTAATTGAGGTGTACATGTGTAGTACCGCGTTAGGCATGCCTTGACTGGGGTAACTAGGGTTTATGAATGTACATGATATATAATATCTATAGTCTATAGTCCTTGGGGATTGTAATACACAACTTCCATCACTGGGGCATCACCTTGCGACCTGCCCTCCATCGCTTGACCAATACTTGACCAATACCAAGGCCACGGCAAGCTGCTTACATCCAGGCGGATGATTTCACCCCGGCTTCACTGATTGTTAAAACTACCATCGTTGGGGCTTCACCATCAACCCAATCTTTCTGCGAAAACGTACTGAAAAAAAGCCTGGTGTTGTCTGAGTTCGATGGTCGAAAGAATGGCCCCCCCAAACAAGAGATAAGTTGGTTGGTAACATAGGCTAATGCTTGGATTCTGGATATTTTTAGTAAGTATATCCAATGTGGTAAGCGCAATAGTGATCCCGCCCTATGTTTACTGGGTGATATAAACCATACCAAATAGGAGATTTGTTGTGGCGCTTACCAAACGTAGCTATGGAAAATAACCACAATTCATAGGTAAAACTAACTAAATGGGCCATGGCTTCCAGAAATATGTAACACATTACCAGATGGTAATTGCATGAATTTTCTTATAATTACATGTCATCAGAGTCATCAGTTTCTATACATATCGAATACAAACAAAAACAAAAACACATTAAATCCCATGAAATGGGCTATTGGTTATACAATGCTATAGACCATCATATTCCCAATATAGCCCCATTATACTATTTGTTTGTTGGCTTTACCGATTACCACATTACAGTTGGATCAGTTATTGGTTGTAAAACTGTACTGGGTGTGTAAATCCATTATAGTTATAACTTATAACTATAACCCATATGATTAGTTCCAATTTGTTATGGTTGCTAAGTTTTAATGGGCTTATAATTGGTTGATAATTTATATGTCATCAGTTTCTGGCTATACATTCCATCAGTTTCCATTTTTCATGGGTTATTGGCGATTGGCGATTGGCCGCCATGCCATGCTGCCATGTTGCCCCAGTTGTCCCTTGGCAGAGTCATCCGACGTCATGGCGAGCTACACGTGGCGTACACAGCGGCCAGTTAACGTTATAAAAAAACGCGCCAACGATGTTTTCATTGGATGGTTTGATGGTGACTTTATATGACTTTATGGTGATTTAAGCAGCTAAAATGGAGATATCCATGGGGATATTGAAGGGATACACCCTCCGGTATCAAACATGGGGAAATCCACAATTTACGCTGGGAAAATCATCGAAAATCATCGCTGCTGCTGGGATTTTTCCAGCACGTGTTGGCTGCCAGAGGGTTGTTTTTTTTGTCCCATGAGACCTATGGCTTCACCGCTAAAAGTGGTGACTCGATGTCACTGCCAACCACAGCTTCAAAAAAAACATGGCTGGATGAAGTTGGATGCACTGGTGGTTTGCTGTGCCTGGGCACAGAAATCCTGGTTACTTCAAGAAGCTGTTGAGAATGGGCGGCGATGCGCTTTTTGTGAAGTCATACAATTGGGGCCTCCATTGTCTTTCGCACATTTAGTGCCTTCGATCGTTGAAAATGTTGAAAGATGTTGAAAGATGTTGAAAGTAAATGAGAATGAGAATCTATTTTGAGGAAAAGGGGTTCGACCATGTTCGACACACAAAGTTGATGCACTATTAATAATGAAACAAAAAAACATTCACTATCAACCCGAACAACTTCCCTTCACGAGCTGGCTGCATTTGGTTCTTTCATATTTTCTGTAGGGTAAGTCATGAAAAGTCTACGACTCAACGACTTAGAAACTGCAATGATCTGATCATGGGAAGTGTGGACACCCCAACTCTGCAAAAAACAGCACAGCACAACGGAGGGAGGTACTGAACCAGCAGTGCACCTGGGCGAGAAGGGCTGCATTGGACATTTCAACTGGTGAAGAAACATTGCAATAAGATATGGGGATATACCCACCATGTTTTCTTGCGGGATAATACTTCAGAATCTTAAGAACCTATGGCTCGAATGGATTATTTTTCGCACACAAACCCCCATATTCACAAATGGTGGGTTGGATTTGTAGATGAATTACTCATTGAAATTGTGCATGTCCCTTGCCAGGCGGAGTCGTGAGGCTGGGAAAGCAGATGGCTGTTGAGTAGGGAGTCCTGCTGAACGAGACAGCAAAACTGCCGGTAAACTGAAGGACATTAGGGGCAAAACAGGGTTCACAACCTGTAAGAACAACACCACTGTTCAACTGACAACAAACGATGTTTAAGCACCCCATCATGGGAACATGAAACTATTATATAAGGACGCCTAACATGTGCAAACTTTGATCAACCAAATCGGATGCTCCGTCTCACTCCTTCTCCCTTTTCACCGCGCAAGTCGCTTGGCAAATTGGCCAGGTGGTCTCAAGGGCGTGAGGATTGGGATAAACTGGGAGTCAACCATTGATTTGCGCAACACGCGCAGCACTATAGTCACTATATATATATATATATATACACCATCCAAAAAAAATGTAAAAAGGAGTTGATCTTTGGATATTGGAAATTCCTATGTTGGAAATGTCCAACATGTTCCACTATTTCTGTTGGAAATTCCGTTGATATTTTTTGTCACACCTTTCGCCCCTCAGAACGTCCAATCATCCGCGATGTACCCGGAGACGCGCCACGGATGTGCATCCCAAGCAGCTCCATTAAAGGGTCAAGGTTTGTTTCAGGAACAGAAAACGGTTACAGCCCCAAAATTACAGGCTAGAATAGTCTGTGTTTTTCCTTGTGAGGGTCTAAATAAAGGTTTTGTAGTAAATCACCTGATACTGCCTGATCTTGAATGCCCTGGGAAAAAAGTATGCTCTTGGCAGAAGAGTCTATGCCCCCATGCATTGGAAACAAACCTACTTCATCAATTCATTGATTTCGATGGGTCAATAAACATCCATAAACATCCTTCAAGTTAATTCCACATTTCTGCTGACTACACCCACATGCTTAAGCTTCATCAATCTAGCTGCTCAAGTTGCACCAGCAACTCGCCTCAGCGACCACCCTCAATGACGACATAATCGTCCAGTTCCCGTTTTCCTTGGACCATGGTTCACTGACAAATGTGGGAGAATACAGTATCCTGCAAAAAAAATATGAGTGTTTGTCCAATCAACTGTAAACAAACAAAAAAATACTCATGACCTTGTTGTCTGGCTCGCATTTAGCAATTCTGGCAGCTTTAGGCCTTAGGGTCCTCAGCAAGTTTTCTTGAACCCTGAGAAGGACCATGGTTCACTGACTCTATGGCCTGTTTTCAGGTTGCTGGTCTGGTAAAATACACTTTGAAACTGCCATGTTGCCATGTAGGCCCAACAGATTCTGGGAAAAAAAAGGTGTCAGAAGTACGGAATCAGTGCGATGTGTGTGTGTGTGCTTTTTCTCCAATCAAAATGTGGCAACTGTTTTTTGATATGGGTTTGCCCACAAGAAAAAAGGTTAATCTCCCAATATTGCCATGTCCAAAAATGTTTTGTCAAGTCACACATGTTAGGTCGATACGGATGAGCCCGATTTGCGTATCTGAAAATTGTGGATCTCCAAAACCGTTGGTTTTACCCTCTGGTAAACTAACATAGCTATTGAAAATGACCATTTATAGTGGATTTTCCCATTAAACATGGTGATTTTCCATAGTTATGTTAGTTTACCAAAGGGTAATTCCGGATGACTTGGGACTACTGCCGATGCCCCTCGTTTTCTGATAAACCAACCATTTGTGTACCATTATGATACATAATTTGGTCTGAAAATGGGGCAGCCACAAGTCTCCTTGGCTCCACATTTCGTAGGGAATATGGATAACCAACTGAATTCTAAATTACCAGAAGATTTATCCCACGATTAAATCCTTGTACAATCGCCACTATTGCCCTCCGGTAAATTAATCTAGACCCTGGCAGATAGGGGTTGGAAGACTGGTTTCCACTAAAAATGGCTTATGTTCAGGGCCGAACTGTTAATTTACCAGAGGGTATATCCAATTATACCCCCATGATACCACCTGTTGCTTAAATCCCAATGATTTATGATCGAATCACCATGAAATAGAAGTAAGACCAGTAATAAACTACCCTATGGTTATTTAACATAGCCATGGAACATGGCCCATTTATAGATGTTTACCTATTAAAAATGGTGATTTTCCATGGCCATGTTAGTCATAACCAGATGGTAAGTGGTTCAACATCACCTGAACAAAAAGAAATGACCAAGTTATCAAATGATATCCAATCACTAGTTTATCATTTATCACTGGTCAAAAAATCAATATTTCCTGGTTGGTGGTATACCTACCCCTCTGAAAAATATGAGTTCGTCAGTTGGGTATACTATCATCAATGACCGGTTTATCAAATCCAATATTGTCCTTTTGGTATACCATCTATCATCAAACAAACCTATTGTTAAAGGGGTTTCTTCAACCCCCTCTATCAACCAACCAATGGGAAAAGGGCATCTATGATCAAATACCAGCAATCCCATTATTAATCCCATGATCAACTATTATTAAGTATTATATATCTACTATTAACGATATACTATTGATGATGATCATTAATATGATATATATCAGATATTACTATTATATATCCCATTAGTATTATATATCTACTATTATTATTAGCCATTATTAATGATTAATGACCAGTTGATGAAATCCCCGGTCCCTCACCGCGTTTTTTTTTTTTCGGTCCCAGTGGCCGTCGTCCTGCAAAATGCTCTCCCTTAACTCCGCGAAGGCGGGTCTCATGACATTTCGAGCCTTGGACGGGATGAAACAAGGGACTGGCCTGGCAGAAAACCAGTTTTTTTTTGGTTTATAACTCCAATAACTATGGTTTATGGTACTTATAACTATAGTTACTGGGGCTTATAAACCAACTTATAACTAGGGGGCCCCACATTGTAGCAAAGACATGAAATCTATCCCTGTGGATCCAGGTACCGTACCTTCTGAAAGGAAGTAATTTACTATCATTTGGAGGCTTTTTTGTACCTTCTCAGACAGTGGCCATGGATCCATAGGGACCATGAACACATGGGATTTAGATCAGATTTATGTTTTTCGTTGAAGTTGGTAAGTGGATGTAAGTGGCTAAATCAACAGTTGAAATATAGACCTATATACTTATTTCTGGTTGGTGGTATACCTACCCCTCTGAAAAATATGAGTCAGTTGGGATGATGACATTCCCAATAGATGGAAAAACACATGTTCCAAACCACCAACCAGATAATAAAGGGTTTCTGCAAATTGTTGCCTTCATCCAAGTATGGAACTCAAATTGATTTTGTTCGACTGTTCGAACAAGGAAAACACACCGTTTGATCCGTTTGGACATTCGATACATGTGTCAACAATGGATCACCATGGAGATCTGGTTGAAAGATGTTGAAAGAAACCTGTTCATTCCAGTGTTCAATAGGAAATCATATACTCCTGGCGTGGGGCTGTTCAACCTGAGACTTGGACTGAAAGGACCCAGAACTGATTCTCCAAAATTCTTCTGGTTGGTAGTATACCTACCCCTCTGAAAAATATGGAAGTCAGTTGGGAGTAATTATTGTTCGCAACATATGGAAAAAAAACAAACCGCCAACCAGTGTTTATTATTGTTTTCTACTTCCATTACAATAAACTGTTGCAAGTCTCATTCAACTTCCCAGATCAACAACAGTTTGTCAGGTGATCAAAATGCTTGGTAATTCTATTCCCTCAAGAAGAATGGCCTAAAAATCTGAGCATATGTTGAATCAAGGAAATCTGCACATCTCCGCGGCACCCTACAAACCTAACCTTGAGATATCTATACGCCTACAATGTGTGCACAATAAAGAAATAAATATAGATAGATAGATTAGATTAGATTAGATTAGATTAGATGAGATTAGATTAGATTAGATAGATAGATAAATATATTTATATGTATTAGATCAATGGGTAAAAACAGAACAATATTACTTATAATAATAATTGTAATTATAATTATATATTCTGTAATTGCATATTAAATATATATATATATATATTAACTATATTACATTATATATCCCAGAAAATTCCTATAAATCCTCAAACATTCCATTACATCCCAATAATTCCCAATAAAACCATACATGTTCACATGATTGATATATCATACATTTCTCACACATCTGCGCAACTCGAAATCCGTTGAGCCAACCGTACAGCACTCGGGCATGGTACGTCAACAGAGGTTTGTTGTGATTCAAACGGTGCCCAAAGTGCATCTACGAAGCCCAACCTGCGGGGAAAGCAAAGACACTTAACCCAAGACCAACATGGATGGGGAACCCCCGGGGTTCCATCCAACAAAAAATCTGATTGTAGCCACATTACATGGGATTGAACCAAGATAAAACTTGATTTTACCAACATAAAATTAGATTTTTCCACCAACAAATGGATTTAATCAACATAAAATTACATGTAATCGACATAACATGTTATTATTTAACCAAGGCAAACTTGGATGCTGTCATGTCAACATGCATTTGAATTAACAACATATTTTGTTTACCAACTGCATCTTTGAATCATAACCATTTAAACATGGGGACTTTACCCAGAAACCATGGACAATCACATGGTTGCTTCAAAGGAACGTAGCAACACATGGGTTTGACCAAGCAATTTGCTGCTAAAAGAGCCTCTGAAGTTAGTTCATGAATTTTCCCGTGGTCTTGCAACTGGCATCAAATACTGAAACACCATGAGTGGTTTTCCTTGGAAGGTTCTATTGCTCCGGTTTCCCTATGATTCTGGTTTCAACCTTCCCATAAGGTGTCTCCCCCACCAGCTACCTGCTGGTTTATGAACCCAACAACTAGGAACCATTTCATGATATATCTACCATAAAATTTATCGTTGAACTACTGAACTAAACCAACTTAGCATTCACGTTTCCTCCTTAACCCCAACATTTCCATAGAATTCCATACATGTTCTATACAATTCCCAGGTCACTGTGTTTCTTTCTGACCCCCAAACCCATCCCCCAACGGCGAGCGCCTGTTCTCAAAGCTCCAGTAGCTATGGTGCAAAGTGACCGAAGGCTGGGTGCTAATGGCGGTCCACCACCAGCCAGATGGGATCCTCATCACGAGCTCATCAAACAACACTGGGTCACCAAAAAACTTCCGTAATGTACAGATTTGTACGCATATGTATACAAACATATTTGGACCAACATTGAATCAGTTTAAATGGCGCTAAGAAAACTACACCGGCAAGAGGCCCCAAACAGTGTGGGAGGTAGGAAGTCAATGTACCAGATAAAAGCAACAGTAGCTAAGAGGTTAGACATGATCGCAACTGCAGCAGCAGGACATGCTATATATATATATATTTATATTTATGGAGGATCACAAGATCATCATACAACAGCTTCCTGTTTGCATCCTAGAAAAGCCTGCAGACAAGCACCAATGCAGAGGGTCTTCAAGATCTTACTGCAAGAACCTCTTCAGGAGGCTTTCAACAGGATCTCCACAAGATCTTCTCAGAAGGACCTAGACAAGATCGTGTAAGGACACCTCAAGGATGCCACCAGGACCTCTTCAAGAGCTTCTCACAAGGACCTGTACAAATTGTACAAGATCATGCAAAGGCCCTGACAGCAGGATCTGCACAAGCTTCGCACAAGGACATGTAAAAAACCTTGAGCAAGATCTTCATGCCAGGACCCCCAAGAGAATCTCACAAGATCGTCATAAAAGGACCTGCTGCTGCTGGAGCGGGCCTTACATGATTTTGATAAAAAGAACCTCCCAAGAGCCTCCCACAAGAGCTTTCATATAAGCACCTCTAAGACATGGCATCTGCAGGATCTTTATGCAAGGACCTCTGAGAAAGCACTTTACCAGGATCTCCACAAGATCTTCTATTAAGGACCTGTGCAAGATCATGCAAGGACCTGCAAGGACCTCTTAGAGAGGACTCCGCCAGGATCTCCGCAGGATCTTCTCATAAGGATACATGCAAGATCATGCAAGGCCCTCTCAGGGGATGTCAGCAGGATCTTCACAAAATCTTCTCACAAGGACCTGCACAAGATCTTTGAATTATGCATGGACCTCTGACAGGATTCCATCAGGATCTTCACAAGATCTCCTCTACAAGGCCTTGGTGAAGAGCTTCATATGTGTATATGTATTTGTATTTATGGATATACGGACTTCTAAGACTTCACCATTAAGCTCTTGCAAGATCATGTAAGACCTGCGTAGTCAAAATGCACATGGATATCGCGCAAGGGCACTTTCATGCGAGAATTTAGAGGAAGAATGCCGCGCCCCGGAAGTTAGGCGCAAACTTTGCGCGAGCCTGCGCAGTCGAAATGCACATGGACATCTCACAAGAACAGTTTTATGCGAGAATCCCAGCAAAAATGCCGGGCCCCAGAGAGCGTACCCTGCTCTAAGCCGGGTCTTAACTCTTACAGTAAGAACCCCTCAGTGTGGACACACTGTTTAGGGAATTGAGAATGGTTGAGGTCAGTTAGGGCTGTTTCCAACCTGCGTTGCGCAGCATGTTGCCAATTCTACTCAGCGATCTGCAGCTCTCATTCGTACCCAGGCTTGGCATTCAGATTCATGCAGCCTTTAGAGCATGGGTCAAGTCATACAAGTATATAGAAGTTATGTGACATGTGGTTTGTTTGTTTGCTTCCCTGCGCCCAGAAGCTGCTGAAGCCTGTGATTCAGTTTGCAGGCTGAGACATACCAAATCAAGACATGAAAGTGAAAAGTGAAACACAAGCAGGAGCCGCATGGAGCCGCGTGGCCGCTGAACCAAGATGTCCAGAGCAAGCACCAGTCAAGAATAGCATTCCCATCAGGTGGTCTCATCAAGACACTTTGGTGCTTTACTTCAGAACATGGACAGATATAAGTCATGGTGATGTCATGTGATGTCATGTGGCTTCCAGGACCGTTGAAGACCTACACTTTTGACCATCCGATTCTTGTTCAGAGATCAGTTATACTGGTCCATTTATAGTTGATTTACAGTACCTATTTAAATTACTTTACTTCGTGTGATCCCCACCATGACATTTACAAATTTATACATTTTCTTACTGGAAAATCTTCTGGCATTCTATCTGACATATCTTCTGACATTCTATTTGGCATTCTATCTGGCATATGTTCTGGCATATCTTCTGGCATTCTATCTGGCAAATCTTCTGGCATTCTATCTGGCATATCTTCTGGCATTCTATCTGACATATCTTCTGGCATTCTATCTGGCATATCTTCTGGCATTTATTCTGACATATCTTTTGGCATTCTATCTGGCATATCTTCTGGCATTCTATCTGGCATATCTTCTGGTATATCTTCTGGCATATCTATCTGGCATATCTCCTGGCATATTTTCTGGCATTCTATCTGGCAAATCTTTTGGCATTCTATCTGGCATATCTTCTGGCATATTATCTGGCAAATCTTCTGGCATTCTGTCTGACATATCTTCTGACATTCTATTTGGCATTCTATCTGGCATATCTTCTGGCATATCTTCTGGCATTCTATCCGGCAAATCTTCTGGCATTCTATCTTTGTAACTTTCTTCTGCACATTCTTTGTCCCATATCTTCCAGAAGATATGCCAGATAGAATGCCAGAAGATTTGCCAGATAGAATGCCAGAAGATATGCCAGAAGATATGCCAGATAGAATGCCAAATAAAATGTCAGAAGATATGTCAGAAGATATGTCAAACAGTTGGCATGGATACTCGCGGTTGAGGTCCGGCAGGGAACACTGGGCGCGGATGGTCGTGGTTGAGGTCCGGCAGGGAACACTGGGTGCGGATGGTGGGCGTGGATGGTCGTGGTTGAGGTCCGGCAGGGAACACTGGGCGTGGATGGTCGTGGTTGAGGTCCGGCAGGGAACACTGGGCGTGGGTGGTCGTGGTTGAGGTCCGGCAGAGAACACTGTGGATCGCGGGTCGCAGTTGAGCAAGGACGACGAGGACGACGAGGACGACGAGGACGACAAGGACGACAAGGATGACAAGGAGGACGAGGAGGAGGAGGAAAGGAGGACGAGGCAGGAGGAGGCGGAGGAGGAGGAGGCAACTGACATAAAATCTAACAACCCTCACCTGGCAGGTGGGGGAAAATATGAATTTCCATAGCAAACTGCTAGTTTATTGGAGAGTCTCCCATCCAATCAGTGCTGAGGGACACCAAAGATTTCCCTTCGCCGAGGAGAGAAACAAACGCCTGGCATTTGGCGAAGAGTGGATGACGTTTCCTCAGTTGCTCGGCTCCAAGGGTGGCGACGAACGGTCTATCATGTCGTACTGTACACGATTCTAAGGTGATGTCATCCGTCAATAGAATGGTGTGATGCCAGCATATCTAGGCCACGTTGGAGTTTGTGATTGTTGGTGATATGTTGCGTTATGTGATCCGAAATCACCCCACATCATTGACATTGCACAGCCATTGACATTTTCTACTGTAGCCGTGTTTCACACCTTGATCATTACCGCCCAATGGCTTGCTTCAAAGCCCGCTGAATTTGCATGTCATTTCTCATTTGGTGCTGGCAGAATCAAGACTTGGGTGGCAAATGTTGAACTAAGCTGGCAAACTCAATAACAAACGATCAAAATAACCGACCATTTGGGAGGTCATTCTATACATCCCAGTTATAGCTGTCTAATTTGGGGATTGTTTTTTTTTAATGTTGTTTTTACTTCATTATACACTGACATTCCCAATCCGGGATACTCTGCATATTCTAGCTGATTAGTACCTGCATATGTATCCATTTACATTGTAGCAAAGGATGAAGGTATGAAACTATACGATTATGGTTGCGTATTGGCTGTATACCCAATGTTTGCTGCTTATATCATCCAATATTTGCTGGCTTTACCCATGTTAAAGTGTAAAACCCATGTTACATTTTTTGCTGAGACACCAGCGTGGAGCATCTGATTTCAGCCATGGCACCCTCATATTTCCAGTCGATGTTTCCACTGTACTACCCCCATGAATGAAGCACCACTACGTATTGTTGGTGTTACACCCCCAATCATATCTAGCTGAAGTTTAAAATAAATCACCAACCTGAACAGTTCGGACATTTGAGGATGATTTCCACAAAAGCCGCCGATTCCTTTTTTGTGGATTGGTTCTATGGGTTCTATGCCCCCCCCTGGTCCTGGTCATATCAAGATCTGTTCAACCCAGATCCATGATCCGGATGTAAATCCAAAGGTTGGCCCTCATTCCAGCTTACCATACTGGTTGGTGGTTTCAACCCCTCTGAAAAATATTGGTCAAATGGGATGATTGTTCCCAATACATGGACACATATAAAATGTTCCAAACCACCAACCAGATTACTATTGCGGTTGGTTTTTGAACCTATCTGATCTGGTTGGTGGTATACCTATACCCTTCTGAAAAATATGACTTCGTCAGTTGGGATGATGATTCTTCCCAATATTGGAAAGTCATAAAATTCATGTTCCAACCACCAATCAGTTATGGTATACCATCCCACGGTATACCCATGCATCCAGCCAGCTGAATTCTGAGCTAATTCACCCGAAAATAGCTCTTATCATACAGCCGGCTATGGGGATGATTCTCCGGATCCAATTCTCATCATTCCAGTGACGGATTATATAATATATCACCATTATATCCATTTACTGTATTTTCCTTATTACCCTCTGGTAAATTAACATAGGTATACATAGGTATTGAACATGGCCATAGAAATGTCGTTGATTTTCCCATTAATAGCATGGTGATTTTCCATGGCTATTTTTGTTAACGTTTACCAAAGGGTAAACCATAGGAGCTTCAAATCGTCAATATCCCGTCAGTACTGTTCATTTTTATGATTATTCCGATATATTCCTATGGTTTACCCTCCAGTAAATTCACATAGACCCTGACAGATAGGGGTTGGAAGATTAGTTTCCACTAAAAATTGGTGATTTTCAGGGGCTATGTTAATTTACCAGAGGGTAATCAGGATATCACGATATCCATTAGACTTCCCATTATTATGTAGTGGTTTTATCCTTATATTCTCGTAGTATGTAGTAAATCCCCAGTATACCATGTATACCATTATTCCCATCCATTTTTTTTTGCGATAAATAGGGAGTATCAATTGAACCATGCGACTACACACCCATCATAATATCAATATCCGTTATAATCCCCTTCAGATGCCAATTTTATGTTTTTTCTACCACGGCTCTGGCTTGGGAAGAAGACGTTCACCTCACTGATGTGTGTGGCATATCCAAAGCTGCCGTCGGAGCGCGCTTCGTCGTAGCCACCTAGACGATGGGCTTCGATAAACGGGCGGCTTTTAGCCGGGGAAATGGTTGATTGAACTAGAAAATCACTACCCTATATGGATCCAGTCGTACCTTCTTAGGAAGTGTTTGGGGTATAAATTACTCCAATTTGGAGGCTTAAGTATGAACCTACTCAGACAGTGGCCATGGATCCATAGGGCTAGAAAATGCTGGAACATACTGGAATCACTGGAATTGTATCTAAAACAACTTGGCATTCACTGATGACCAACATATTGAAAAACCCTCAGCTTTCAATGGTCCACAGTCATGCTGTGTTCTGATAAATATTGGAGCAGAATACTCAAATATACTTACTCATTATATATACAGCCTCTCCGAATTTATCTGGTTGGTGGTTTCAAGCCCTCTGAAAAATATTAGCCAGTTGGGATGATTATTCCCAAAATGTTCCAATTCATGGATTGGTTAATGAATCTTTAGAAGGATACTACCACATTTGATGAAACAAACAACACCACCATATTTCCTGCAGATGGTCCCATCCCACTAACTAACCCCCCGCACCCATGAGCTCGTAGATGTTTTCAGTTTCCTCTGGCGGGAAGAGAAACACCATTCTCTGACCTGGGCGGCCCAGGGGGCACCTGGATTGTGATGGCTACGTCCGAACGTGCAATTGGGAACTCCCATGAGGTCCCCATGAAAAGCGACATTATCCCATGAAAACTCATGAAATCACCATGTTTCAGTAGTGGACGTTCCATGAACTTGTGATGGCGGTTACTTAAGCGAGGAATGTTTGGTGGCTTCAAAGACTTGGAGGACATCCACAATACAAATACCGGTAGACCCCTCCGTTGAAGGGGACCCAAAAAAGGACGAAGCAAACACACACTAACAATGGGTTGGGTTGATTTATGGTCCATTTATGGATGATTCACCATGATTTACCTATAAATATTTACCTATTAAAATTGTTTTTTTCCAGTTTGCAATCAGTTGACATGAACAAAGGATTCAGCAACTTAACACGCTTTGAGCACACAACCATTTGTCGAAATGTGGCTAGCGCTTGGACTGGAAAAAACATTTGTAAAACTTGTTGCGAAGATGGTTGATGTCAGAGCAACTCCTCCCAACATCTCCCAACATCTTAATATAATAATTCAATATTTTAACATTCTATAAAAACTTCAGGGCCTCCGAAAAACTTGGATACCTATCACCAGCCAAAGAAGTCAGATCCGCACCTTCCATTTGCAGGAGCCACTCGTGCGCTTGGTGGTTGCTTCGATGTAAGCGGCTCACAGATCCTGCCCCGGCTGTCAGGGATTCATTTGTCATGCAGCCATGCTGATACTTCATGACATCACATGTTGAAGTTGAATATACCGATGCTGTGAATGTCTCAACTTTGATTCCGTAATCGAGTTATCCTCTACAATCGCAGGACATTATGACATGACATTGTGTGAGATTTCTGGCTTTAGGTGCCTATGGTTGAACATAACAACCACAATCTGTGGCGGCCAGTTCACTTAACCTCGGTGAAGCTCGGATCCAAGTGATCCAAGTTCCACAATGTTCATCCCAGTCCTAAAGATCCAGATATTAATATCCTACAATGTGAGGCCCCCGTTCGATAGCATTCAGTTGGTGAACAAAACTCCAATAACTATGGTTTATGGTACGTAAATAACTATAGTTACTGGGGCTTAAAAACCAACTTCTAACTGGGGGGCCTCACATTGTATGTCAAAAATCTCGGCTTCAGCTGGCTTCGGCACCGCTGGGTCCTATGACACCGAAATGCAATCGATAAAATTGCGCGAGCCTCGAAGCACTGCAGTGCAGCAAAAAAGTTAAGCGCAAGCGACACTTTAAAAAACTGAACGACCCTCAAAATCACGGACAATAATTGTGACAACAGAAAATATGAATAATTTGTTACAGTAATTGTTTGATATTTCTGGTATTTTCAGGGTGAAGGTTTATCAGCTCTTAGCTTCCGTTTACCCATATTTTTGGGACAAGTTTGGATCTCGTTCAAGCGGCTGATGAACCGGATCTTGCTCAAAGATGGAGCCATAAATCCTGGGCCGGAGAAAAGCGGCTGGAAAATTTGAAATGCCGCGGAGAGCGAACTGGAAAATCACCATGGACCGTGTGAATCATAATTTTTGTCATATACAGTATACAGTATCTGGTTGGTGGAGGTTGGTGGTATACCTACCCCTTTGAAAAATATTAGTCAGTTGGGAATAGTATTCCCAATATATGGAAAAATAAAACATGTTCCAAACCACCAACCAGATATACATATTATGTATGATTATGTATGGGCCATGGCTTCAATAGCAAACCGTTAAATAACCAGAGCGTATTTAAGGATCACCAGCTCCCATTGGTTAACCTTTTGTTGGTGGATTTCCCAACTAATGATGTTTGATTACCAAAGGGTAAATGAACATTACCGGTCTGGGCCAGTCTGGGGCACATGATTCATGCAAACATGCCGCCTTGAGTCATGAAACTTGTGCAAAACGGCATGGATTCGAATATGTTTTGTAGATGCAGCAACCCACTGGAAGGAATGCTGCAAATCAAGAGAAACCAATGCACAACTCACTGTACATATCATGAACGGACTTAGATCGCCTCTTCAACACAATCTGATTTCAACACTTCACTTATCTTATGTTCCCATACGTTCCGATGTGTTGTCATCATGAACATAGAACAATTCAATCCATGAAAACTCGAAAAGTTTCCGTTCAAAACATATGCATGTTGGTTTATAAACCCCATCAATCTGCCATACACCCAACAGTGTATGAGTGAGCAACCAACTTAGCAATCACAAACATCAACCCTAAATCATTCTAACTCCCCATTTTCATCCATTTTGTAGGTTTCATCCGCATCTTCCCTTGTTTTTCATGCTTCAAATCGCACGACCTGAACGGAACGGAACGGGCCAACTCAGGTCAGGCGTCTCGCACCAGCGCAGCGTGAGATCGTCCACACCAGGCGGCGTCCAGGATCGCCAGTGATCTTTGAAGAATCCTCGGGACCACGGAAGGTGTGGCAAGGCTAGCCCGGTAATACTGGAAGAACATGAGAAGGACCAGTTGATACTTATATCTATTTACAACGATTAACTATTTGTATCTATATCATGTACATGTTATATCTATTTACACCGACTTTGGCAGGAGTTGACGCTTAAACCTTTTAAGGACTTGGAACAACTACCTGGAATTGCATGACTGGTTCAAGGTCGAACGGTTCATTTTCGCACCAACACATACCAACACCAATAATTTGCTGGCAAAAAACTCCATTCCGCGTTGAGATTGAAGTAATGGTTCTATATCCCATTATATTCCAATAATCTTCCCACATATATAAATATATATATATTATATTATATTATATTATATTATATTTTATTATATTATATTACATCATATTATATCATATTATATTATGTATTATATTATTTATATATTATACATATATTATATTATAAATATTATATTATATATATTATATTATATATATTATATTTTATATATAGCATATATATAATATAATATATATATATATATATTTATTTATTATATTATATATATATGATATTTTATATAAAACATATATATATATATATATTAAAATATATATATATATACCCTATGTCATGGGGGTCCCCACAATTATCATCCCTTTTTTGTTTGGGATTTTGCATGAAATAAACCATCCAGCTATTGGGGATCCCGCCAACCAGGCCCAGGTGCTGCTACAGGAGCTGATAAAGGGACAGAAGTCTCCAACCTGACGCGCTGACGCTGACGGCGCGTTTCAAAGCTACGGAAGCATTGCCAGGAAGCATGGCTACAAAGGTGGTGGAAGAATCAGGTAGCTAAGTTTGTTTATACTATTTGTTGAAAATTACAGTTTGTAACTAGGTTGGCTGTTGACTGAGGTTACAGTGAACATAAGTAGAATAGTAGAGATGGGTCAAACCAATCTGTAGGGAACACCACAGGGAACAACACTTGGTACCCAAGCAGTTTCAAACCAGTTACTTGGAACTACTTGAGGTATGTTCCTGGGGTTCCAGTATCTTCTCCGGACCTAGTACTTGGATGTATTTGGAGCCTTGTTGACCTCGGTATTAGATCATAGATTCAATCTATAAATCTATGATCTACAGTTGGGTGATGTTGGGAGTATACATTAAAATCATGAAAAAATGTGCGACATCCCAGATCTAGCCATGAAATATGATGAAGTGATTTTTGAGGCTCACATCATTTTAAGGAACCCAAGCCAGCCAGACCAATCGCTAACTTCAAAAACGATCTTCAGGTCAACTTCGGCACATTGAGCAGGTTGCTGGATTCAACCCCCTCTGAACAACCCTTCCGCCCATCACCGTGGAAGGAACAGATTACTACAGCTTGGGCCCCCCTGCATAGCCAAACTGGTATATTACACACACACACGTGTATATATATAATATATATATATATACATATACTATTACAAACAATCACCACCTATACCAAGCATCGATCACCGTACCAAGGCAAGTTGCTTGCAGTCTTGGAAAGGCTAAGGCTTGATCTTCCATGCAGGCAGAGTCTTGGATTTCGACCACCAGCATGTAGTCCTTGGGCGATACCTATAAATCCACTGGTTGTCATCTGACCAATGGCCATGACTCAGGAAGCGATTGATTGGAGGTACCAATCCCATATATAAGGCCTATTGTTTAGGCCTATGTAAGGGAATATCCCCACAAAATATGGCCTTATATGGTACAGTACCTCCATTTTAGGATCCTGAAATTCCCATTGATCTGAACATGGCATGTTCTCGGTTTATGATTATCATCTCCCTATGAAAATTGGGCATTTTTGGGTGGTCGATCCTCCCTTGTTAGACACAGCCATATTCAAACGAACCAAACATGGCACTATTGCAGGAATAGCCTTTTGCTGAGTGGTACCTTCAACCCAACCACCGAGGTAGAGGCGGGACTCTACAAGCTGTTCCACAGCATCGCTTGACAGCTAAATGTCCTACTGTTGGTGAAACCCGATGTAAAGAAATAATTTCATAATGTGGATACAGTAGGGCAGTAGGGATATCTCACTATATCTGCTCTGAAGAAGACCTTGTCAAAGCAATCATTCTCCACAATCATGGTCCCCCGATAAAGTTACCATCAAATATGCCGATTTCACCTCACTCATCTTCATTGAAACTTCAGGTGACCAACCCCAATAAACAATGATGGTGAATAAGCCCTTGTTGATGCCGGTGGTCAAAAACTAGCCTTTTCAAAAACTCAACCACTGAGCAGTCTCCTGTGGGGGGGTGGTTGAAGTACGAAACATATCCAAACATCATATGTGCTCATATATTGTTGGCTACTATAATATTCCAGTCCAGATTCTGTCGGTATATCCCCATTCATCATTTCGAATCATGTATGATTTCCCACAACCCCATCCATTGCTTGAACCCCGCAGAAACAAACCTCAAAAAAACAACGCCACCGTCGAGTCCGTCGAGCGTCCAAGTATTCAACAAGTCCAGCTTCAATGCACAGAGCGTCGAAACCTGGCGTCGGGCCATGGGAGAGGCGCTCAGTGGGAAACCACTAAGTCACTAAGCAAGTGAAGGGGCCCCCAAAATACATGAGTGTTGTGGATGTCAGTACAAAAACCTCATGAAAATGGAATGAGAATCCCAGTTCAAACCACAAAAGTCACCGTTTATAACTGGTAAAAAAGGGCTTTAACTACTAATCACTTGTGGGGTTTGGAACGGTCAAAGGCTCAGCAACTGCTCCTTTGGGGTCATCTTGACCATGTCCTGATCCCGGCTCCCAACAATGCAGCCCATGAGAAGTCTCCTGAATCTTGCTCGAAGGCTGGCCACCGACTGCGGCAGTTGCAATACTCCAAACCACACGCTTCCTGCATTCAGCTACGAAAAGCAGCAAGGTTCTGCATCCGTAGATCATCATAGATCAAATGATCGCTTCTAATGGGGAATCCCAAGTTAAAATCCAAGATATTGGTATGTTCACTTGGATGGATAAGTTGCAGAACCCCCATAGGAAAGCCAAAGGTTACCCTAGGTCCGGTGGGTCCCCAAGTTGGTTTCGGGGTGTGTCCAGGTGATGAACTTGATGCCGAATACCTGGTTGGTGGTTGACCTACCCCTCTGAAAAGTGATGGACTTAATGGGAAGGATGACATCCCATATATGAAATGGAAAATCAAATTCATGTTCCAAACCACCAACCAGAAATTACCAATCCATGTGCTTGGCTGAGATTCAAGCATTTGTTCAAGCTCAAAACATCATTCCACCGCTATTCGCGACTACCCAGCCTCCCCAGATGTCTACTAAAATGGTGCAACTATCCCCCAAAGCAGTTTGGAACACTTCTGCTTTCATGGCTTCACACCTCAAAGAAAAGAATGGACATTCCTCGAGGAAAGGGATGGAAATTCTGCGCTGCATTTGATTTGTGGAATCTTCTGGGATTTCAACATCTTCCAAAAAGCAAAGTGGCTCAAGGCGCAAAGATTGAATCTTCCAACTATTTTCATCTAAACCAAACTGATGGCTGGCACATTGGCAAACAAAAAAAACATGTCACGGAGTTGCCTTTTGTTTCAACCCCCAAATTTTCCGGATGTATAAGAGCTATAAGTATTTCCGGATGTTCCAAACTGATTGACCCCAGATGTGGGGATGGCGAAGCACCAAAACGAGGCGCCCATGAAGGTCCATCACATCCCACGGAGAACATTCAGCGCGACCAGTTCGAATCATTGGAACAGCAAAACCCAAATTGTGGTTGCTTGCTTCTTGGTGAATCACTTGTGAGATTTCTCACTGTGGATGATGAAAATCAATGAACATCTTCAGAATAATTAAGTCACCATGGTGGTCAATTTCCATGATTCAAAATGATTCGAATCATCCATGGCTAAAAAAAACAACACCAGGTATTCACCAAGGGATTTTCACATAAATATATATATATATATATTCACCATGGCTTTCTTTAGCAGCTATCGGTTTTCAGGCAGGCCCTATCCCTTGGTCCTTCCAAAAGCTGATGTTCCAATGCCGCCACACGGGCTCATGTCCCCGCTTGGGTACGAGGGTGCATGGTTGGGTCAGCCCACTTGGCACCTGGCACGAGAATCCCATCTGAGGACTGGTGTCGGGCATCACCACAACGAGTTTCTGTAACTTTGGGAAATTCAAAAGTATCAGCTCTAGAAATCATAATTTGTATAAGAATGGCCAGCTAGCTAGGTGAATCAATAAATCAACTCTAGCAACAAACACATATTTTAAGAAACATCTACCAAACAAAATATGGAATGTCAATCATTCTCACCCAACAGACAGCTTAAGTCAACCATAAACAAACACACCCTCACCGTCAAATGCCGTGGCCAAATTGGCCAGGCCGACCTGCCGAACTCGTTGGACAGGGCTACAGGATGCGATTCCAGGGAGGTTGCAAAAATTGGCACGTTGCTGCCTGCCGGCGCCGAGAAGTCGGCGACTACCCATCTCGGATTTTAGCTCAAATTTCAGCTGAGATTGAGTAAGAAACTGCACCCAGTTGTATCGAGTTCGCTAAAATTCATCAGGGACACAAGGCCCAGCCTATGTCGGCAGTATGAGATGTACCTCAGCATGAGCACATTTGTTTGCTCCAAACCCTGGTATCATTCCCTCTTGAACATCCGAACACTCTAGTAGCCGGCAAATGAGTTTTGATCCATCCCGAAAAATTAGCGGCGATATCGTCAGGTGCACCTGTTTGGGTTGCAAACGATTGCCAATCTCACTTGTTTGTTGTCAAAATTGTGAAACAGTAAAATGTTGACCCTCTGGTAATTTGTTGCATAACTACAAAACCTCACAATGTTTATTGCTAAATTAGCCAAAAAGTATCATGTTCAATCCATTTTCGGCTATCTTAAATTACCAGAGGGTAAGCAATGGACAGAACAGACCCC